CCCCAAAACCCCAAAACCCCAAAACCCCATATAAGATCACAAAGGTTGAGTATAATAATATTTTGATTTTAGCATTAAAATTCTTATTTCGAATGGAATTACTAAATAGAACAAACTGCTGAGTTGGTGAATCTTCTCAGACCTTTGAACAAGAGATTGCAGAAATTATTTGTCAATCATCAATGACATTATACAACCTTGTTAATGCCTCAAAAGCTAACAAAATGATTGATGCGAGCAGAGATGCAGGGCTTTCTTCAAATTTTGGAGCAAATGATGCACAAAAATCGGAGAAATTGACACTGAAGGGTACTCAAATAACCGAGAATCCGCTTTTACGGAGTAATGGTCAGAATTTTCAGAACTCTACCTCTCCAAATTTCAACATGAAAGAAACGATTTCTGGGAAGATCATTAACCCAAAAGCTTCCAACTCAGACAACTTAACCAACAAGAATAACTTGTCTGTGACGTACAAAGAATCCACCAATACAACTGGTGAGAACATTGTTAATAACCAACAGAAAGTGTTTAAGTCTATCAAAGATATCGACCAGTTGCCCTTTGAAGACAACAGCTTTGATGCTTACATATCTAATCTGACCTTCCAATCCAACCCAAACTACCTGAATGCTCTGTGAGAGTCTTACAGGGTGCTCTCGAAAGGAGGCCGGACTGCCTTCTCGATCTGGGGCAGAGAGGAAAACTGTGCCTTCCTCACATTTCTCCCAAGCATTTTGGAATCCCATGGTGTCATTGTTGCTCCAGAGAATGATATCGATTTCGATCTCATCTCAATCGACCAAGTCATTGAGGATGCTAGAGACATTGGGTTCCGGACAGTCAAGAAAATTCACATCCCTTTCTACTATTTCATAATGGATGCTGAAGAGATGTGGGAGTTTCTTGAAAATAGCTGTCATCGGAAACAACTCTCCGAACTCGACGAAGAGACTCTCCGAGCAGTAAAGGAAGACTTCTTTCTAGAGTTCGACAATCGCTTCGGTGACCAGACCGATGAGATGATTGGCTTCGAGGTCACTTTTATCCTCGCAGTGAAATAATCTGCATTAAATAATTTCTTTTTAAAATATTTAACTATTGGCTAAATTGAACTCCAAGTTTTACGGATTTTAGAAATTCGAAGTACCTCAGAATTAAAATTTATTTCAATTGGCTGAACTAGAATTGGGGTTTTGGGGTTTTGGGGTTTTGGGGTTTTGGGG